ACAGCTACTCCGACGGATGTGACGGAAAGTTGTGGTGAACTGACATGCACGGCAGTATGTCTGTGCCCATATGCTCCTACGTGTCTGAGCTGTTTGTGCAGTGGAGGGTAGGGGGAGGGGTGCGCCGAAGAGGATGAGTTCTTTACGGTAGTAGTAATTGGCTTTTGCCGCTGCCGCCGCCACCGCAGAGGACGTCACAATAACCGGTTGAAGTGGAAGGCAAGCAACTCAGCCCAAAGGTTTGTAAATGGCCAATGGCCACGATGTATATCTACGAATCACTTTTGAGCTTCCGCCGAAACTATAACCGAGGCAATCACTCTATGACAGTTTTTGCTAATTGGCCTAGTTAAACTCCAGACGGTGTAAGTGGAGTGCTAAGGTTGTCTTGTAATGTGTATGTGTGTGCTAGTGTGTGCAGTTCGTGCCCACACCCAGCCATTTCCGGTCCTTCTGGCTGAGCGCGGTGGTTGTAGGACGGTAGAGAGAAATAGACTCAGCAAAAGTCAGCGTTAATACACGCAAATTAACGCGGCAGCTACAGCCATAAAAAGCTCGTAAATCAGTAGTCTTAGTAGGCCTCAAACTTAACGAAATCCAAACATCTGGCGTTCCATTTGTTTCTCCAAGGTGTCTTTGGACGATGGTCAAACAGGAAATTACAGTTGTAGGTGGGGTGGGAGCAGAACTGTGACCGACGTTATTCCTTTTCAGCGCTATTGTAAAGGCCTAAATTAGCAAAGTATTCCCATGTGGGTCGCTGGGAAATGCAATTTTAGATTGCTGGAGCCCGATTTCTATTAACAAGAGATTACTAATTTTTCCGCGGTTGAATAATCAGAAAATTCAAATAGTTCGCAAAACCCTCTATCCACGATACAAACATCAAACATTTAACAACCAGGCAAGTAGGTTCAACAATGTACAGGTCATATAAACGCATTTGTATACGATATACCAGTCTGAACAAGTTATCCCTTATAGTCTGGTTAGCATCTGGATTCTTTCTATTCCATTATTTAGGTGTGAAAATACACTTAAAGTCATCACCTACACAGATGAGCTGGGCTTGAATTCGTATTTTGGTGCTCAGACCTCAAGATGAGAGTCGATTTGGCCTTAATTTGCAACAAGGTAAATTAGGTGTTATTTTTCTTGTTAATCTACTTTAAAAAATAAAAGGCTTGACTGTGACCCCCTACTTTTGGTTCAGGATAATATATCCCTCAAGTCTGTATATTTGTTGTCTAAGTTTTCTAAAACGGAAGAATCTACTTTGCTTTTTATGCATAGCTTGTTTTACTAATACAAATTTCATGTGATGGAATATACCAGTAGATACAAAGCGTTAAATTTGTCCTCTACGCATTTTTAGACTGTGAGCATTATTTCAATTATTGCAGGGGTTCAGTAGGTGTCAAAACTCGTGGTGCATGCGCAGATTCACGAAAAACCTCTATTCACTACACAAATTGTCCAAATAAATTAAAGATATCAATTGCTCATTAAGGAACGATCAACCTTTAACTGAAAATAAACACGGTAATAAGTAGTTTACGGTTTATCGACAATACAAATTTTGTGAAGGAAACAGGAACGCCTAAAACGCAAAACTCCTTTTTCAGGGGCAACGAAGTGTTAGTACCTTCTGGGTTGTTTTATAATTTAAGCTATTTGAGTGTTACTTTAACGCGCAACGTTTAGGCACGTCCGCAGCTTGCAGTTTGTCTATGTTCTTCAGTTTTCTATCTAGAGAGAACAATGTAAATTGCCGCTTCTTCATTGTTTGAGTAGCCTTTTAATAAGACGCAATTAAAAAACGTGACTCTTGTAGGTTTTTCTAATTAACTGCCGCAAAACAACACACATTTTGATATCTTATCTTATGAGCACTAAAGTAGTCGCTCTTTACACGTGTTGGCTTACTTATATAACTTTAACTGCACGCTAAAAATAATCATCGAAGACACTGTGACTATGTACGCAAATATGGACCGCCGCATTAAAAGTGGCCATCAGCTAAATTTTACAGTAAACGTTACGAGTGGGATTAGATTGACGACTGATACTTAGGTTAGGAGTATTCCGAATCCTGTGAGGTTTCGGCGTAGGCTTACGTTTAGGACCTGACGATTTTCGTCATCCTCCTGAACTCAAGCCTAAGGCCATTTAGATTACGGAAGCTCCATGCTCCCATGTCCAACTGAAAATGTTGTCTGCGCCTAAGGCTTCCGATGGAAATGTTCCCGATGAAATGGAAAAAATTCAACAATTTTTTTTTCCTTACAAAGTGTTTTGCTAAGGTATTTCGCTGACGAACGTATCACTCCCACATTTTCAAAGATACAATTGAGAAAAATGGAACCCACGTTCTTTTTGCATATTACTCTGAGATACACATACGCAGTTTGCAACCATAGACTCAAAGTCCTTTCTGTTTGGGAACTATTTTAGTTTTATTTGTTTATTAGTTGGCTCTGATATACAATTATAAATGCAGGGCAGAGTTATTACATAAACAAAAAAAAAGCTTTTTTAAAACGCTTAATGTTGTGCCGCTTTCTTTTCTAAATCACACGTAATCAGAAATTAGACCACCAAATATTCCACCAGATAGTCGGGTGATGGTAAGTTATTTCATCGTTTTTACTAAATGTAGGTATCTGCGAGGAAATTATGGATGGGATAAGGCGAAAAAATTCGCGAAAAGTGGCCAACGTGCGAGTATTAGAGTCCTGTTCACAAAGAAACATGGAATCACTGGAGATACACTTTTAGTAAAATTCAAACTGACAAATATATGTGTTCGGTCATTCATCGTCAGGCTGATACATTCACATGGAGAATGTAATTGTTAGTTGGGAACAGTGTTTATATGGCTCTCGAGTGGCTTGGGGACGAAGAGACGAATGTCCACTCCACCACCCCCTGAGAATCGTATAAACACTCTAAACAACTGAATATTTTATTTCCTATGTTACTGCGTCCCTTTGACAATGACTGACCAAGCCACCTCTTCACGCGTAACATGGAAATTTTTGTGAAAAACTTCTATTAGTAATAGCTTTTGGATCTGTACAGGAGCCCATTCTCAGAGACTGTAAAAGTACAACGCTAACTAAGAAGGCTGATAGTCTCAAAATACCGTGGTATCTCTAGATAAATCTCAGAAAAAAACCTTTATAAGACGCTAGCCAAGTTCTATAGAGCAATCGAAGTCCCCACGCACAAACGTCTCCTTCGGGTAATCGTTGCACTGAAAGACAGTCTCACTTATAATCTAGCCAATGAAAAAGTCCGAAAAATACATACTCTTTTCAAGATGGTTCAGACTCCTGACCGGATTATTATATCCTTCAACGTGATCTCAATATTTACATCCATCCATCTTTCTGAATGTCGCGCGCCAGGTTCTACGCAGTCCGCTTGCAAAGAAGCACGGCCCAATGAGGTCGCCCAGAG